GCCACTGCTGCAGGGCCAGAAGCCAGAATAGGAGGTATTGCCTCTTGGAGAAGGCAGAAGTGGCTGTGTGTGTGTCTTGTGGATGGAATCTATTCTCCCCCAAGCTGGAACCAAACAATTACCCTTTTATTCCCAGCATCATTAAGAATTTCATATCCAAGTTAAAGCCTGTGAGTGTTGACACATAACACTTTATCACCTGTGTAACTTACCCTGGTTTAGTACATGTCAGTTCTACTGGTGTCTCCCACTGACAGATTCTCAGTTCTCTGGAGGTTTCTGGCCTAGGAGCACTTGCCCAGTAGGTGGCAGGGAAATAATTTATCTGCATTGAGCAAATAGGTCCCCAGACAGAATTGACTAGAGCTCTGGACAGAAGACATCTACTGGCATAATTTACACTACTTTCCCAGATGTGACTTTAATTAGTAGTACAGGTTTCCCATGCTTTATGTGGATTCTGTATGTATAAATTCTCTCTTATGTGATGACCCTTTTTATATAAAAAATTCATTATATGCACAGTAAATACACTCTTATGTGATCGGTGTGGTGAAAGCCCACAGTCAGCTGGTTTGTGCAGTGCATTGTGGGAGTGACACACCAAAATATAGTCTTCTGAGTGGATCCATGCTCCTTGCTCATTGTCTGTGACACGTTTTTGTAGTTGCCATCCCCATTATGGTAACATTCACCACTACCCTGTGCTTGTGTGTACTGTCTGCTGTTGGTGAGTATCAAAATTGTCTTGTAAAAGTGGTAGAAGTGGGCCTGGGGCTCAGTACAGTCAAGGTCTTGGAACGTATTCCTATTTGTTACATTGTAAAGTGAGTTCCCTTTATGTGAATATGAGTTATGTGCTGTTTTCCAGGAACGCATGTACAGCATAAAGTGAAGGAAACCTGTAGAGTGATTTATATTACGATAGGGTTGTACTTTGTGTATTCACTTCACATTCACACAAGTGTGAAGGCAGATTACATTGGTGTAATTGTGTCTTGTGTCCACATTTCCGTCTAATGCAGTATTGCCATTTTCCCCTTTGTTCCAGAGTAGACAAAACAGCTGGACTTCTCAGGGAAACAAAGTGAGAAAATAGTGGTAATGGTGAACCTGTTGTCTCAGCCATAGTCTCTGCTGGCTTGTTCTTCACTGACTGGGTTCCTTTTGGATTTAAGGCAAGTGAAAGGAAATCAGACTAGATCAGCCATTTTCAGGCTCTACTTATCAGCCTGGCTTCATTTCCCTTGTGGTTTGATGGATTTTTAGTTATTTCTGAAGCAAAGCACCACTCTTAGAACTGGTTTTGTATAGGAGAAACTGTTGTCTAGGATATAGATTCCAGTGACCACAAAGAGTTTGTTTCATCCTTTCAAAAATATTACACACCAGCTGGTTTCCTGTAGGGGAAGAAGTAAAGTTGTCTCTGATATCTGTGGTTGTAGGTTCATTATGTTGCATCCTTCAGGGCACAGGACCAAGTGAAATGTGAATGCAGCATTAGCAGGGGAACTTGAATATGTCTTATTTGAAAACTCACCTGCAGAAGACCAAATAAATAATACTCTCTCTCCCATTAGTTGAATGCAACTATCAGGACAGAGTCAGTTTTTGGCTGAAATATCATTTTTATTTTTGATAATCAGTTTTTGTTTCTGTTGTGCAATGAAAGAGATATTTGCTTTCAATGCCATCTTTAATGCTGCTTTCTGTTTAAATTGCTTTAGTTATATTGTTGCTGCCTTCATTTGAAATAAAGGAACATTTTTTGCTTTCCATCATTAAGTATCAGATTGTGACCTCATCACAATCTGACTGGGCTGAGCAGCTAATAGTAGTCCTATTAACATGGCAGAGGTGAGCTAGTGCTGGGACTAATGGATGAACAGAGTGAGTAATGGGCTCATCATCTAACTTCCAGCAATTCTCAAACTGTTCATGGCTGCAAGAGGTCCCCTAGGTCACCCTTGTTAAACATATCAAGATAGAGCCACTGGACCCAAAATTTGTAGTTTGTCCATGTTAACTCCCAAACCAAAGAAATGTTCCCGTTAATATGCTAAGTGAGGGAAAGCCGGATGGTTTGTGGAAGGGTTCGGGTCTGAAAACATGTTGCAGCAATTCAATGGGATAGCAGGATATTCAGACAAGGGGGAGCAGGAAAACCCTGCTCTGTGATCTTGAAGCCGCTTTATCTCTCTGGCTTCACAACATGACTGGCATCCTCAGGAGCACGTGGGCAGGTCACTTCAGCAGCGCTTGTGGTGTAGGAAATTGGCTCCACCAGCGAAACTGTCTGAATCACTCTTCCTTTTAGCAGGGCATAGCGCCAGTTCTCTGAGATTTATTGTACCTTCAGTAAGCATATAGTGTGGCACAGACTCCTGCTCTTAACCAGATGAAGCAGCTCACCCAAATAGGCTTTATCTAGCTCAGCGCATAATCCTGCGTCCACGAAAATCAATGGGAGCTTTTTAATGGTTTAGGTGGCCACATGATTAAACAGTCAGTGAGCTGATCACTTTCCTTTCACCCCAAACCTCGGGGTTAATATACCTAGAGCACACAATCAACAGAAAAGGAAAAAGAAATGAGCAACATGAAGTCGAAACTGACCTTCCCGTTCTTCAAATGGCTTCAGAACCTGAAGAATATTGTGCCACGGGTGAGCTGGTCAGAGCTCTGCTTTAAAAAGCCTGTGGCTTCTCGTGTACGCCTCACTTCTATCCACAGATGAACTGGCAGCGCGGCTTGGGCGTTTTCCCTTGCTAATGCTGGTTTTGCTTTGACAGACCTTTAAGCGACAGGCAAGATCTCGGGCAGGAAGAATTTCCATATCTTCCCTGACCGTTTCATTTATGGGAACATAGTCAGCCTCCGGAAATAGTTCGCACACGTTCAAAAGGTTTCCCTTAAGACATTTAAAAATGAAGATCGGCTAATTTTGTAACACTTTCTACATTTTTCTTTAATCCAGTGCTGTTGTACAAACTGTACTTTCCTGGATGGCTTACAGTTAGCCGTTAAGTCTCTAGGTGGCACTGTCCACCACTAAGGTACCCAAGAGTAATTGGAGCTTTTCCCCATCCACATGATCACGTATAGCGAAGGCAGCTGCAATAAAAGACCTGGCAGTGGCTGGCTCAGCAGACGATAACTCGGTGATGATTTCAGGGAGAACGAGAAAGAATATATGCTCTTTCCCCACATTTTAGCAAAAATGTATTGTTGTTTTTCGTTTTTTTAAGCTTTCTTTCTTACTATTTTACCAGTTTTCAGAGGTGGGGTGACGTCAGCTATTTGCTGAAATATTGGATTATGGTACTGTTGAAACGGTCTGCAGGGAGCTGAGCCAAGGGAAGGAAGAATGCGGGTCTATCTAATGGTGTTCTGCCTTATTTCCTACTCCGTGGATGGGCAAATAGAATACTCCATCTCCGAAGAAACGGAACGTGGTGTATCTGTTGGGAATATAGCAAAGGATTTAGGAATAGATGCAGCTACACTTTCATCCAGGAAATTTCGCATGATCACCAGTTCAAGTAAGCAATATTTTAATATAGATGTAAGCACGGGGGCTTTGTCCGTTAATGAGCCCATAGACAGAGAGCAGGTTTGTGAATTAAAAACGACCTGTTTTCTGAATTACGAACTTGTTCTAGAAAACCCTCTAGAGCTGTATAAAATGGAATTTAAAGTGTTGGACATAAATGACAACTCCCCCAACTTCCCTTTAAATGAATATCGCTTAAATGTGGCCGAGTTTTTATCACCCGGGGCTCGATTTACACTCCCTAATGCCCAAGATCTTGATGAAGGCACCAACAGTGTCCAGATCTATACTCTGAGTCCTAATGAACATTTCCGTCTGGAAATGCAAACACGCGGGGACGGGAGTAAGTATCCTGAACTGGTACTGGAAAAAACCTTAGACAGGGAACAACAAGCCATCCACAAACTCGTAATTATAGCCAAAGATGGTGGGACTCCCGAGAGGTCCGGTGATGCAGAAGTCATTGTGACAGTTCTCGATACCAATGACAACGCTCCAGCGTTTGAACAGTCAGTCTACAGGGCAAGTATCTTGGAGAACTCCCTCAGCGGCACGTTGGTAACCAAAGTGCATGCCACTGACTTAGATGAAGGTCAAAATGGAGAAATCAGGTACTCATTTAGCAATAGCACTTCTGCTGATCTACAGAGAATGTTTCTAATCGATCCCCAAACTGGGGAGATAAAAGTGAATGGCATTTTAGATGTTCGGAGACCCCTTCTAGAGATGTTCATTGAGGCCAGGGATAAAGGAGCGTTCGGAATGTCCAGCACAGCTAAGTTGCTGGTGGAAATCACTGATGTGAACAACAATGCCCCCGAGATAACAATCACGTCTCTTTCCAGTCCCATCCCTGAGGATGCTTTGTCCGGAACTGTGATAGCTCTTTTGAGTGTTATGGATAAAGACCCTGGAGAGAACGGGAAGGTAACCTGTGAGATCCCTGCTAACATTCCCTTTCACCTAAAATCATCTTTCGACAATTACTATAGTTTGGTCACGGATGGGTCTCTGGATCGAGAACGGGTCAGTGAGTATAACATCACTGTCACTGCTATGGACCTTGGGTCCCCTCCCCTGGCCACTCGGAGGACACTGTGGGTGCAGATCTCGGACGTGAACGACAACCCTCCCAAGTTTGCCAGCTCAGCATGCGACATCTCTGTGACAGAAAATAACCTTCCTGGGGCGTCCCTGTACCAGGTATCAGCGTCTGATCCCGATGTGGGGCAAAACGGCCGGATTTCTTATACACTCAGGGACATGGGTTTTGAAGGCGGCGCTTTGTCCAGCTTTTTTGCGGTTAATTCGGAGAACGGAAACATCTATGCAAAAAGCACTTTTGACTTTGAACAGCTCAGGAGTTTTCATTTCCAGGTGGAAGCCAAAGATCACGGATCTCCAGCACTGAGTACGGCCTTAACTGTGAATGTTCTCATCGCTGATCAAAACGATAACATCCCCGTCATTCTGTATCCTGCGGCCAGGAACGGGTCAGTCGCTGTGGAAATAGTCCCCAGGTTAGCCGATGCCGATTACCTGGTGACTAAAGTGGTGGCGGACGACGCGGACAGCGGGCATAACGCCTGGCTGTCCTACCACCTCTTGCAGCCCTCGAACTCCGGCTTGTTTCGGATTTTGGCCAACACGGGAGAACTCCGCACGGCCCGGTCCATGAGGTCCACGGACTCCATCAAGCACAAAGTGGTCATCCTGGTGAAGGACCATGGCGAACCATCGCTCTCCTCCACCATAGCTTTGGGCATCCTGCTCGCGGACTCTCTACCCCAAGCTCTGCCGGACTTCGACGACGGGCTGGAAGCACGAGGACAGCTCACCACTTTAAACCTTTACCTCATCATCTCTCTCGCCTGCATCTCCTTTGTGTTCCTTGGGTTTATCTTCTTCCTTGTCCTCATGAGGCTCCTCCATTGCAGAACTACTCACCACCGCAGCTGCTGTTGCTCAGGGTGCTGCCCCGAGGATGAGAAATACGAGAAGTACCGCTACAATGTGCGCATGCTTCCGAGCTCTCACTTCCCTTCAGAGGTGGTGGAGGTCTCAGGGGTGGGCAAGCTTACCCACACCTACTTGTACAGGGCGTCTGTGGGCATTGGGCCTAGCAATAACAATTTATTGCTGAATGGAGACGCCAGAAATATCCCCAGTGGTGCAGGATTACAAGTGCCAGCATCCTGTATTCAGATACAGAAGGTGAAAAGCGATCACTTTAACGCTATTTTGTTGGTAAGTAGTTTTCGTTTCAGTAGTTCTATGTGCCCCACGGGTGCCCAGACTCCTTCATTTGTCATTTTTATAGTTGATGGTAATAGCATTGATCTTATGCCAGTGTGAAGTCAATATATTTATTTATTTACCTACAAGGTAGAGGGTAGCATTATGGCAACACGAACAAAATCTCCAATCGCTTATTTCCCCCCTTCCCCCCCAAGAACCGAAAGCGAAAGAGACACATCCCCCAGGAACACTGGAATGATCTGCCATATCTAAACGGGGGAGAGGGGTGCTCAGTAACTACAACTTACTGTGCGAGACGAAAAGAAAATGTTGCCACAGCGCCATTACACTACATAGGAAGCCACAAGAAAAGACAAAATGAAATGAGTGAAATATAAATTGGCTAGCGAGTTCAAATACCTATACACGCCTGTGCACCTGCGTGTACGCAGGGTGGAGGCTGCCCAGACGCGCTGGAATTCCCGGCAGTCGGAGCGATCGCCCCAGCGGCAATGGCCACCTGCCTCCTGGGTCTGGTGTAGCAGCGACCGCGGGCTTCCAAACGGTGGCGCCGCACTTGCAGTAAAGCGCGACAAAGGAGCTTTCGTTCAGGCGCCCCGCCGCCGCTTTTAAGCCCGCGGGCGCTAATACACCAGAGGCAGCCCCGTTTTAATTAGAATCGCTCTAATCAAGGCGCTGCCCCACCCCACAACCCCGGAGCACGTGTAAAAGTGCCAAGTGACAAAGGTCACGAGAACAACAAATCTGCTTCATCAATTATAAAGTTTTCTACTTCTTGAGGTTTTGCCTTTGGGAAAGGGAAAAGTGTGAGAAGAGAATTTGCTGTGGAAAGGTGGTATTTAAGTCCTAAGAATAACATTTTCAAAGGATCCTAATAGTCCTCAGTTTCCTGAAGTCCTTCAGAAATCGGTACAAAATATTCCGTTTGAAATGAAGTTAGATCTTTTAAAACAACCAAACGAATTTGTAAAACTAAAAAGTTTTCAAGTCTTTTCAGCTAATGACTTCCTTTTCGGAAGGAAGGCTCTTGTTATGATGATTTCATAGGATTAGTTAAGAAATCTGGGTTGCATTCCCTGATGTCACTGATTTGAGTGAGGTTGGGTCAATACTTCACGTTTCAGTTTTTCTATTTATAAAATTGTGATCATGATACTCTCTTCTAGGTGTGTAGTGAGTCTTGTGTTTGGTGTGTAGGGAACTTTGTGACCTTCTGAGTGGTAGAACTTCTGAAATACACAATGCCACAATACACAATATACAGTACCAACCTGGTCAGCTTGCCACTGTTTGTAACGAATGAGCCAGTTTTAATCCGAGCTGCATGCAGGGGTAAGTGCTTTAATTACTTTGACTAGATTTATAGCCCAAGAGTGTGCCTGTTAAGAATAAAGTGGCAATCACCCTAAAGGAAAGATAAAATGCCAGGTTTTATTTTTATATTAAAGACTTTCAAAAGGAACAAGAACTTTTAAATTGCTCAAATTGTAGATGTCTATAACAATTTTAAATAGCTAAATTTTCAGTTTATGTTTACCCAATTTCTGAAAATTAAATACTTGAAGGGGCTTCACCTTGGACATCCACATTAGATGTAATAAGTATTAGTCCCTTCTAGAAACATAGGAATCATTATTCTTGGGCAGACCAAAAATCCATCTAGTATCATGTCCTGTTTCTGGGAGGGGCTTGTATCAGATGCATTAAGCAAAAGTGTAAGAACCTCCAGTAAACAGATGCAGGGTAATCTGCTCTCCACATTAGGCTCTATTCTCATTTATAATAATTAGAGATTGATTTAAGCTTTGAATCATGAGATGTTACTGGCAGCTGAAGAACAGTTGTAATTAATTATGATAACTCAGGATATTTGTATTAGTTACATAAATGCACAGTTCCGTCTTGAACCTTGGCTCAATAACTGCATTTGATAATTGCCCCTGATAATTAGCCCCACACTTTAATAATGCATGGCTGATAAACCATTTCCTTTTATCAGTTTTTTTAGCTTTATTTAGTAATGAATTCAACTGTTCAAATAATAGATGTAAAATTTAAAGATATATCATTTCCCATAAAATATGCATAAAGACAAATATTTATTTTCTATAAATAGTGCTTCCTTAACCCAAGTCAATGTTTTACAGGAGTCTTATGTTTTTTTCTTCTCTTCCTTTCAGTCTCTAACAGTTCCTTTAAGTTTCTGTCAATGTTGAAGTTTTATGTTTGTTCATCTCTATATAATAATTCACCCCCTCTTTTCCCTAGAACTCTGCACAATACAAATATCACAATCTTCTACTTATCTTTCCTTTTAAATTTTAAATTTATTCCAAATTTGTTCTTAAGTGGTAGCTCATAGACCTTGCACTATCTTTCAGTATTCAAAAACATTTCTAAAACTTTCTGGTTTGGAGGCGGGAAACTTTCCTTTTTTTTTTTTTTTTTTTAAGCAAAATCCAAAAATTTCCAAGTAAGCAACTTTTTTTCCTTCTTTCCTGTATAACAGTGACTTAATAAGGGAACTTTTCTGTTACTAAAACTTCCCAAACTTAAAAAAAAAACAGTCAGTGATTTTAGGGGCATCATATCTCTTCCAGGCTTTTTCAATTGTAATTCTGGCTGCCATTAGATGATGAGTGATCAATACCTTATGCATCTTAGTTTTGCAGAGTTTTCAAGAGGGTTCACTGAGAACATGAAGGGGTTATCTGACAGTTGGTATCCCATCATTTCTTAATCTTCTCCTGGCCCTAGCCAAACTAGTGATCTACCTGACCAGGAAAGAAGCTCTGGCTGGAGGAGCCTGGGGGGACTGTGGGCCATTTTCTTGTCCCTGATCCATTCATGTCTCCAGGCAGAGTTTCACTGGGCAGCATCCACTGGCTCCTTGGATTTGTTCGAGGGCCAGTGGGCACTGTCTGGTTTGTTCTGCTCGGTGTCCTCCACCTGCTTAATGCACTCATTTTAAACCCATCCCTGTTTTCTTCTTAGTTGTCCCCCAAACTCAGATGATGTCTACCCAGTAGTGCCCTCTAATAAGTGTGGGGGAGGGCACTAACTATTGTTCTTTGGGTGTTAAGCCCATGTTAACCTTATGCATCAAATGAGCCCATTATTTCCCTCATCATATCTCCAACCTTCTTCTAGAATAGTTTAATTCTGGGACATGTTCACCATGGCTGCTTGTAAATGTTAAAAAAACCAAACAAACTAAAAAACAACACACAAAACAAAATGGTGTTTTAATTTAAACCCAGAGCATTCCTG